TCGTCAGATGATTAATGGAAAAGTTCAAGAGTGAAACTTTAAGATCAGTTATTTTCTGTCCCCACACGATCAAACGTTGTTGAGCTTCTCTCTGACAAAATACTCTTCATTCAATAGAATATTTAATAGTCGAGGAGACACAGTGAACATATGGTCAATGGGGTCACTGAGCAACAGTCTTAACATGAAAATGCTGCTAAATTTAGAAAGTGAAGAAGAAAACGGAGACAAATGGTTGAACAAAAAAATGTATTAGTTTCTTCACTTTTTGGCTCAACAGTGAAAATCCAAACTTCATTTTGGTAAAAGCAGCAAAAAGCTCCAGATACTCAACAGTGGTGAAACTTTTGTTACCAAGGTGAAGAAAGAACCAGAAGTCAGAGCTCCTTCAAAATAAAATACAATGAAATAAAGTAAAAATGTAAATATGTGAAGGCTAATCCCTGTTTCTATATATTCATAAATAACATATGATGGAATTAGTCTAATAAAAAAGTATTAATACAGTAACACTTGATGTGACCTCTCCTCTCCTCAGCTGAACAGTAACGTTTGAGTTTACAGAGAATTTTGCGAGGAAATCAAACTGAAACTTGAAACTGAAAACATCCCCAGGTGAAATGACGCCCCAGTCCACCTGCCCCGCCTCCTGCTGTTGCTGCTGCCCTCTACCTCTGCTCCACTGATTCATTCACCCTGAACCGGAGCTCATTCAAACGCACGCAGCCTCTCTTCAGCGGAGCTAATCCGGCGGTCTGAATGAGACCTTGTGTCCCTGTCGACCCTGCGTGGACTGCAGACCGCCTGAAGTGTCTGATGAACTTTTTTCCTTCCTCTCTGCTCTTGCGTAACAACTGGAGCTTAAACACGTGCGCTCAGGTGCGCTGGATCTGGACGTGTGACAGTTTAGATGTTGATTTAATAACGCTGAGTGTGTGGTTTGTCAGCGTGCAGGAAGTGAATTTGTCAGTCGGCTTGTTAATTCATGTTGTGTGGACAATAGTTCAGCTGTGAGCGACGGGAGGTTTTCACACGGATCTCCTGGGAGCCGGCAGCTTGTTCAGCTATGAATCACTGTGTGCACGTTCTGTGTCACATACAAATGATATCAACAATAGACAAAATGTTCAGGGTGTAACCACACTGTTGATTATTGGTGGTGAGGCTGAGGGAGTCGCATGCGTTGTAAATCATTTCACCTGATGCTCCTCCGCCAATGACGCGGCTCGAGACGGTGAGCGAGGTCGAGGAGAGACGGATTCAGGGGCGCCGTCCGAGGACGAAGCCGCTGTAGACCGTGAAGGCCGAAACGAAATGAGACGGTTTGGTCTACGGAGGGTTTACGCTTCGCATCGCCAGCTGTGCCCACCCTGAGTGTGGCTCCTGTTGCCTAGCAACCGTGACAACTTCTTTTTACAAAACCTTGAGGTTTTAAGGGCCTTGGTTTTTAACAGTTTGCTGTTCAACCATAGACTGTAAATAAAGATGGATGTAGCCTCCGTGACATCTCCCACAGGCTTCTGAAGAGAGCTTTTGAAGCTCAGAGTGAGCTGCTCTGCCGTCACCATCTTGGCAGCACCTGACTCCGCCCCCCCCCTCCTCAAAGAGGAGCCATTTTTCAGCCTCGGAGGACGCTGCTTGTAATCAACTGAGCTGAAACCCAATACTGACATTTAAAAGTGTAATCCTCAGGCTCTCTCTCTGTGTTGTTTGCTGCCATATTATTTTCATTACTGGCAATGTGCAATGAATCTTGGGATAGATTGGTGTAGCAATCAGTCTTCAGATGGTTGCGACTGCTAAGATTTGAAACTAGAAATAACTCTAAAAGTAAGCACTTTATTTTAAACTGCGAGATTTTATCCATTGCTCTGCTGCCACATGATTGGCTGATTAGATGATTGCATGTGCCAACGTTCCTAATAAAGTGCTCGGTGAGTGCGCTGCAGTTTGCATGAGGGGAGAAGTGAAGTGTTGTTACTGTGCTGCACAATAAAGTGTTTGGGGGTATTAAGCTTAAAAAACAAACAAAAAAACAAACACAGATGTTCAAAAAATCTGGACACATTTTCATCAGATATCAGCTCAGTGTGTCCGTCTGTGATTGGTGCAGGAGATTTAGCGTGGGCAGATCCTCTTTGTACTTTACAGGATGTGGACGGTTCACAGAGCTGCAGAATACAAGTCTGTAGTTGATAAATCCTAATTTTCTGTTTCTGTTAAACTCGATACTTAAAGACTTTTCTTTAATTTTTGAGAATTCCTTGTAAAAGCTGTAAAACGAGGTTTAAAAACAACAGATCTTCATACGCTCTGTATCTGTGTTTGATGCTGACAGTAGTTTTTACACTTCTCCCAAATTATAAATAAGTGCACACACACACACATTTATTAAAAGTCATTTCTGAAGCAGAAACTCATTTGTTCCAGCTTCTCAGATGTGAACATTTACTCACTCTCAATAGTACACTCAGTTTCTTTGGGGTTTTTTTTTTTTAGACAAAATAAGCAATTAAAATATGTCAGCTTGGGGTCTGGGGGAAACTGTGATGGGAATTTTTCTCAACTTCTTGCAAATTATAGGCACCAGATGATTTAAACTGAGGAAATGATGAATGAATGTGAGTGTAACCAGAGCCTGATTGAAACAGCGTTGGTACCTGCAGACTCTGAAGGTGGTGCAGGAGTGTTGGGGTTAATCCATCCTACACATATACAGCACCTGTCCTGTTTCCCTGCCTCTGGCTACCTCCGGCTAGTCACAGGCTGATTGGCAGCTTCATCTCTGCTCGGTGAGCAAAATGTCAATGTTAGCTTTCATTAGCGCCGCAGCATCGGGATTTCCACCGATGGCCCCGTAATAGCTCCCTTCACTGATTTGTAACGAGCTGTGATGGTCTGAGCCGAGACGACAGCAGTAATTACACGTGGCGGAGAGTCGGCCACGTCTCCTGTGAACAGGCCTCTCCCTCCTCCGGCTTGTTTGGTTTGTACCGATATCCTGCACTGATAAACTCAATTAGGTGTGTTTGCAGTGAAAGCGATCTCCCTATCTGAAACGGCTCCAGAGGTAAAAGGGTCTTGAACGTGGAAGGAAAAACACTGAAGATAAAGTAGAGGTGATAAAAACACCCGCGTTACACAGCACGCCAAACGACCACAGACCTGAGCGCTCTGATGATCCAGACGCCTCAGGTCACCTGGGACAGGTTCACTCAGGTGTTCCCAGGATCAGAACCAAGCACAGGTGAAGCAGCTTGTAGTTTCCGTGCTCCTCACCTGTGGAACCAGCTTCCTGAACACCTGAGATCTGTCAGCTCATTTCAATCAGAGCGTCAAACATCACGACAACGTATTTTCAATCTTGTGTATTTTCTTGTTGTTCATCACTGCAGCACTTCTTCTAAAACCTGATTTTAAGAAATCTTGACATGACTCATTCAAATACTTTTATTTTTATTTGTTCAAATGAGTTTTTATTGTTTTTAAATGCTATTTAAATGTTCTATCTTTAATGATTTCCATGCCTCTGTAAAGCACTTTGAACTGCCTTGTGTCTGAATGGTGCTACATGGATAAAATTATAAATATATATTAATATATAAATAAATCCTTGCCTACTGCAGTACATGTAAAGCAATAATAATGATTGTTAAATTAACCAATAATATTTTTTACTTCTGACCTTATTAAAACTCAATATTTAAAGTCGTCGTGACAAATGGAGAAATGACCATAAAGGCTCGTTATAAAGCGAATAAAGAAATATTTCATGTTGTTCGGACTCTGCAGGAACAGAGTCATTCACAGACAAAGAAATGTCTGTTCTACGTGTGAAATCACCTCCTTCCTCTGCTCGTTCCCGACATTTGAAAACACTCTTAAATGTTAAATTTTCAGGCGTCAGATTCACACTTTTTTTCACAAGTCTTACTTAAATAATAACTGGTAAAATAATAATAATAATAACAATAATAATAATTCTTATCCTCTGTACTAAACCTACAGATGCACAGAGCTTCCACCCCTGCATGTGAAACCTGTGAGCCAACCTCGCACGGCTAAATAAGGAAGCGATGATCAGCAAGACTTTGAGAAAATAAAAGCAAATTCTCAGTGGATGTGTGTGGATCCTCTGCGCTGACGGAGCCACAGAGAAAGAGAAAAGCTACCAAAACATCCCAGAAGCCCCCCCCCCCAAAAAAAATGTCCAGATCCAAACCACAACTTCATTATTACTTTTATTAAGTTTTTACCCTCAAGACCAAGAATGTTAAGGATGTGACATGAAAGAAAAAACCCGATGGTAACTGAAAGCTGCAGGAATGTCGAGAATTTAAATCTTTACTATAAACTGTAGGAATATTAATGTGTTAGTGTCATGTGGTGAAATATAAAGCGGGAACTCGTCGACACAAACTCTTAATATGGATTTCTTAGATTTGTGAGTTTTATTTTAAAGGATTGTGAAGATTCATACTGAGTGTCAACGTGAAGCGCAAGTCAGAGTCAGAACATTTTGACGGTACCTTTAACAACTTGATTCTTCGAGCATCTTTTCCTGACTTCTCCTGTGTCTCCATATCGTATAAAATCATTAAATGATTTCCAGATTTCCTCGTAAACATCCAGTTTGTTTTTCAAGCAATAAGTCGTACTAGTTTTTTCCTGCATTTTAACAAAATAAAGAAATGTCCATGTGTTTTCACTAACGAACTGTAGCAGCACCAACATTTTCTCTATTTCCTTTTTAATTAGTACCAAACTGAGTGGGCAAATACTGGAAATATCTATTAATTAACTGCTAATTCATTACCAGCAAATTTCTTGGAGATTATGAGGAAAGTTTCCAGGAAATCAGCTGGAATCAGCCTATAAAATAAAGTGTTACAGATATATTTAGCCTACAATTAGCTTTGAATTGTTGCTGTGATGGTACGGCTGTTCCTCCTAATGTTCTTCTTCTCATTTTGACCTCTTGGCCGTCTGTCTTTTCCCAGGATCCCTCAGTCCAGAAGGTGGGCGGCGGCAGGAAGAAGACCGTGTCCTTCAGCAGCATGCCGTCAGAGAAGAAGGTACATTGGAAATAATTAACAGCTAATTAACAAACTTCCTTGTGTAACTGAACATGGATGATCAGGTTCTTGTTGATGCTCCGCCCCAGGTGAGCAGCGCCGCAGACTGCCTGGCGTTCATGCAGGGAGGCTGTGAACTGAAGAAGATCCGGCCCAACTCCAGGGTTTACTGTCGTTTCTACACCCTGGACCCGGACCTGAGCTGCCTGCGCTGGGAGCCGTCTAAGAAGGACGGCGACCGGGCTCGGCTCGACGTCTCCAGCATCCGGGAGGTCCGCACCGGGAAGAGCACCGAGACCTTCCTCCATAACGGCCCTCTGTCTGAACACCTGGCGGAGGAGGCGGCCTTCTCCATCATACATGGGGACGAGTATCAGGTGAGGAGGGAAGAGGAAGAAGAAGAAACGGCTCCATGTGATAAAGTTACATCATCATGTTCATGAAGTGTTAACGTACAGTAAATAATCCGTCTCTAATCTGCCCCTCCCTGCAGTCCCTGGACTTGGTTGCATTGTCCGCAGATGTGGCCAACATCTGGGTCACAGGCCTTCGCTACCTGCTGGCCCACCCCTCTGTGATTGGCGGGGCCGGGGGAGGTGGCGGAGGAGTGGGAGTGCTGAGCGAGGGAGGGGGTTTGTCGGTAGAGGGCAGCCTGGGGAGCAAGATGAGGAGCGAGTGGCTGGCGGCGGAGTTCGCCCAGGTGGACGAAGACGGCTACGGCATCGTGTCCGAGGACGTGGCGGTCGCCACCATCTGTAAACTCTGCCCCGGCATCAAGGAAGCAAAGGTGAGAAGGGGGGGGGGGCGGCTTTGAATCTTACACCTTCATGCACATGAACAAAATCTAAAAAAGCTCAAATCAACAATTAATCACGTGACAGCTTGGATGTGGGAGTCGTTGCTCATGGTGATGAACACAGAGCATATCTCCTCACATGTAGGGAGCTCGTCAGTGAATGTAAAGAGTCAGATATTCTCCTCAGGAGCTGGTGGAGAACAAACACGGAGCTAAAACATCAGGTGGAGACAAACTCAACTCCACATGAAAGATCAACTGTTTTCTAACAAATTCACCGTATCAACTTAAAATGTGACGATATGTCAGAGCGAAGCTTCTTTCTGCTGCACGTTTTACAACCAGTCGTCACAAAGTGGTTCAAAATCAAATGAGAGAATTAATAATACATCCAATAAAAGCAAAGGTAAAATATACAAGAGGAAAACAGATAAAGGACAAAAGCATAAAATATTAATAATAACGACATAGCATAAAATGTCTTTGGGTCTTGGAGCGTGTTCAGTACACTCAGAAGACCCGGGGTGGAGGACCTCAGGGCTCGGCTCGGGGTGCGGGGGGTGCAGAATATATTCTGAGGCCTGGCTCTGAAAGTGAGCACTAAAATTTTAAAATGGATTCTAAAATTAACAGGACGCCGTGCAGCGCAGGGAGGTTAAAGGAGGTGTTAGACAGTGTGTGACCATCTGTTTGATGGTGTTAAAAGCCTGGCAGCAGCTTGTTTCCTCTGTCTCCCCCGGGGGCCAGAAAAATCAGTTGGTGTAGGTTTAAAAACAAACGCAGAGCTACTGGAGAATCCTCTCGCCTTTGAAGACACATTTAAAGTCAACATCAAATGTAGTAAATGTAAAATACAGGTGTCAGAAGTCAGAAAGACAGAAATCTTTTCCATCTTGGTGTGGAGGTTTTCCAGCTGCAGATGAGCCTTTGTCATAATTAAGTTTTCATAAAAACATGGACCTGTTTTTAGAAAGTCTAAACTTTGACGTCATGTCCTGACGCACCAAAAAAAAAGAAAAGTTGTTGGGAGTGTGGCTGCAGTTACAGCGAGGCCCTTTGTGACTCCAGCTGAGGAAACGCTTCCTGTGATAAATACTGAAGAGCAAATTTAAATGAAATGCAAAGGAGCTGCTGATTCTGCACAAGAATATAATAATAGTGTTTGTGTTGCACTTACATCAGATTTTTACTCAAGGTTCTTGTTTTGTTGTTTAGAGGAAAATTTAAATCCAATTAACCCAAATGAGCTCTGCTGATATTTTCAGGTTTTGTTGTGTCATAAATAAAAACCTGAGCAATTAGTAGAGTTTTGTCGTGTTGCTTGTTTCACGCACATAAAGCTGAAGCACAGCCACCCGGCAGATATTCATCTGTTCCGTCAGAAAGCAAAGAATCGCAGCATCATGTGCTGGAGTAACGTCTTCGTAATCATGACCGTGTGTCAGGTGACAGCAGCCTCAGCAGGAGCGGCGTGCCGCCCGATCCGCTGCTTCCTTCCTGTATTGGGAGCAGAACATGAAATGTAAACAGATTTGTTGTTTTGGTTTTTCTGACGTGCAGACTGTCACTTTTTCCTCCTGTCTCGCCTGCTGAGTGCTGAGCAGCACGCTCAGACGCAAAGAGACACAGAGCGTGAGCGTGGAAACACAGACGTCTGTATCGGCGCAGACAGGTGAGAGGAGTCCTGACAACCTGCGATGAGATGATACCAGAGAGGGAGGCCAGGGCTGAGCGGTGGGGATGAAAACATTTTATCAAATCTGAATCCTTTTAAATCCCTTAATAAATCCCAGTTGAAGATACTGACTTTTGAGGTTTTGTTCAGCAGGATCATCTTCACTAATGAAACCACTTTCATGTTTTATTTTAATATATTTAATTTTATTCAGCTATAGTGGCACCGCGGTCACATGACTTCAACGTCACCACCACTGAACTTCATCTTGTAGTTTGATTTAGCTCTGAGCTAAATGTTCATTTAAAAGAGCTTTAGACTGCAGGGCAGGAAGTGCTAAGATGCTGCAGCGCTCTGTTAACTATGAAACTTAAACTGTGGACACTCTGCTGTGTTCAAGGGTCGTGGGACTTTCAACACGTATTTCATCACTGCTCTGTGACGTCCATGAACCAGGTCCTCACGTTTGCAACACAATGAAATGAATGTTATTTCTACTTCATCATTCACTCGTCCTTCTTATATCATCAGAAATAACACAAGTTCTTACTTCAACATGTTGGACTGTAGATATTTAAACGTCATGATCGTCATCGTGAGGACACTCCTGCAATATAACTTAGAAAAGAGTTTCAATAGTCTTTATGTCACATGCACATGTTTGTCTGTGTTTGTGTCTCTGTGTGTGATTCCTGCCGTGTCAGAGAGACAGACTGAACACAGAAAGTGAATAAAAGATTTGCTCAGGGATTTCTTGCGTGGGGAGCTTTAATGAATCTGAGTATTTTTACCCACTTGGAACAAGATAAAAGAACAGAGAGAAAACGAGGAAGCAGACCAAAAGAAAAAGATGAAAGGAGGAGATGGAGAGAAGACAGAGACTTGGTTATTGGGAGGAGATTATTAGGACATTGTGTTGTTTAATGTGGGTCACTTTAATATCCTTATTCAAAGGAGATAACTGAAGTTTAATCAAATTTGCCTGCTCGGCTGAATGAATGGGGCTTAATGCTGACTGATTAATTCACTTCATCTCTGGCTCAATAAACCGTCCAGCTCTCATCAGACCTTCCTCCTCCTCCTCCTCCCCCCTCCACTTTCTCTTCTCTCCTCCTGCAGGTGCGTCTGCGCTTTAAGGAGATCCAGCGCAGCAAAGAGAAACTGACGTCCCACGTGACGCGCGAGGAGTTCCAGGAGGCCTTCTGCGAGCTCTGCACCCGGCCCGACGTCTACTTCCTGCTGGTGCAGCTCTCCAAGGACCGCGAGTGTCTGGACCCCCAGGACCTCCGCCTCTTCCTGGAGACGGAGCAGGGTTTGTCTCTGGCGACGACCGAGGGCTGCTGGGAGCTGCTGAGGCGCTACGAGCCGTCGGCCCAGGGCAGGGAGAGGGGGCTGCTGGGTCTGGACGGATTCGCTCGCTACCTGCAGTCGCCCGAGTGTCAGCTGCTCGACCCGGAGCACCTGGGGGTGTGTCAGGACATGAACCTGCCTCTGTCCCACTACTACGTCAGGTGTGTTTGGTCGATCTAAACGTCACTGACGCTGGTAGATGTAATTGCGCAGCAGGATTTGTTTGTGTTGGTGTGTAACGTTGGGTTTTTCCCCTCAGCACCTCGTACCGCTCCTACCTGCTGGATGACCAGGTCCACGGCCGAGCGGACCTGGGAGGGCTGATGAAGGCGCTGCAGACCGGCTGTCGTTGCCTGGAGCTGGGGGTGACTGACGGCCCGGAGGGGGAGCCTCTCCTCGGAGTCGACTACGGTCCGGACATCCCCCGCCACCATCATCACCACCACCACCACCACCACCACCACGCACCTGTGACCATCCGCTCGGCTCTGGAGGTGGTCAATAAGTACGCCTTCCTGACCTCTCAGTACCCGCTCCTGGTCTACCTGTGTCAGCGCTGCTCTCCGGCCCAGCAGCGCACCATGGCGCAGCACCTGAAGAAAGTGTTCGGCTCCCGCCTTTACACTCCAGAGGCCCTACCTGTCAGCCTGGGGGGGCGAGCGACCACCTTACCCTCCCCCGAGCAGCTGAAGGGACGCATCCTGCTCGTGGGGAAGAAGCTGCCCCCGGAGCAGGACGGCTCTGATGGGGAGGTGTCTGAGGAGGATGAGGAGATAGGAGGAGGAGGGCCTTTGGCGGGACGGCGAATGACCATCCCCGGTGAGGAGGAACTTGGCGTGGTCTTAGTGGTGCCTCCACCCTCTCAACCCCGGAAGCTCCGCCTCCACAAAGAGCTGTCGGACCTGGTGGCGATCGCTCGGACCGGCAGCCGCAGCTTCTACGCCCAGAGAGCGAGTCACAAACAGGGTCAGCAGCAGTCGCCCCCCAGCAGCCCCTCCTCCCCCAGCACGCCGATGCCTCCCGAGCTGCCTTACTGGACACTGTGCTCCCTGGGCGAGGGAGAGGCCGGGCGGCTGACCAGCGAGAGCCCAGAGGACCTCGTCATGTTCACCAAGCGCACCCTAACCAGGGTGCGACCCAGCTCGGTGCGCCTGGACTCCAGTAACCCGAATCCACAAGGATACTGGAAAGGAGGGGTCCAGCTCGTGGCCTTGAACCAGCAGACCCCCGGCGCCATGCTGGACCTTCACCGAGGGCGCTTCTCGCAGAACGGAGGGTGTGGTTACGTTCTCCGACCCGCTGTGATGAGGGACGAGGTGTCGTATTTCAGTGCCCACACACAGGGGTGTGTGCCAGGAGTCCCACCGCAGACGCTGCGCATCAAGGTGCACACGTTACTTCTGTTGTTTATAAAGGGCAGTACTGCAGAAAATCAAAGTACTTGTACTTTACTTGAGTATTTTTATTTTCCACCTCTGGATGTTTCTGCTCCACTGCTGTTCAGCCCGCTCATGCTGGTGTGTAGTTGTGTCTCCTTGTCGTGTTTCAGGTGTTTCTGTTTTCAGTTCCATCAAAAAGACTTTTTCCACCTAAATCTCTCAAATGATTCAATATTTCTACATTTCTCTCCCATGAAACGTGTCACGACCCCTCAGATTTATCTTGTGACCCTTTGGAGGGGCTCGAACCCTGGGTTGGGAACCACTCGACTAAACTAGTTAGCTGTACATATTGGGAAGTAGTTAGCAGTAGCAGCTACAACAATAAAATTCTGCTAATATATTCACTTTAATCAGTATTAATATAATTTATTATGATATATAAGTTGGTTTTCTGTAAAACAAGTACTTTTACATTTAAAACTACATGTACACAGAAGCATGTGAGTATAGCTTTAAGACAGACATATACTTTAAAGGAGCAATTTGTAAGTTTTGCTACTGCTACATAGCTAACATTAGCATTAGCATCTGTTTACTTACCAGTCTAGAAGAAAAAGTTGTGAGTTCAGAATCAAACTTCTTTCCTTTACTCACCAACAGCTGTCTGCAGAGGCGGACGAGAAACACTAATGTTAACTCTTGTCTCTATCACGTCTTTTCTTCTACTGGAGTTAGCATGCTAACCAGCTAGCGACTGTAGCGTCCGGTCTGCCCTGCAGACGCAGCACCGCTCTGAGGACCTATTATAACCTCTTCTCTTGCAAACACAAAAGACAATATTGTATTTTATTTTTCTCTCAAATATCAACTCGTCATGAATTTACTTTGCGGTTTGACTCTGCAGGTTATCAGTGCCCATAACCTGCCCAAGCCTCAGGGATCGGGGGCCAAGGGGGAGGTCATTGACCCGTATGTGGTTCTGGAGCTGCACGGTGTCCCAGCTGACTGCGCCGAACAGCGGACGCGCACCGCGGCTCAGAACCAGGACGACCCGCTGTTCGACGAGACCTTTGAGTTTCAAGTAAGACCCTTTACTCCTCTGTGTAGACTCTCACAGCCGGTGATGGTTTGTCTATTTATAACTTCCATTATTTCCATTATAACTTTATTGATATTGTGAAACTTGGCAAATGTAAACATAAGCTCCAGGCTCAAGTGCAGGTCAGTTTTGGCGACTAAGTTCTGATATAAAGTTTTGAATGATAGAAAATAAGGATCCATCACAAGTTGGTTAAACATGCACCTGATTAAGTTAATTAACAGAGAATATTAAAAATAAATGCCTCATGTTTGGCAAATTATTAAAATTCAGTCGCCTTTTTAATAATCCAGTCACCAAATAAGTCCTGACCTATTTATCTCCCTTACACGATGGCCTTTTAGCAATAAAAATGATAAATATCTGTACTGATATCTGTGATTCTGGTCCTGCTCTTACCTGCTGTTGGATCGAACCCAGATGTCGTGGTATCACCTGCTGCAGGAGGTGGAGTTGGGTTGTGTTTCCGGAGTTCCTCATGGAGATCCAGAGTCATAAAAAAGATAATATCCTCCACACAACCTGAAATATAGAAATACAGAAATACACACACACTTAACAGGACAAACTCCAAGTTCCTTTTATCAATTAATATTATATGTCAGACACTGACATCCTACTCATTATACTGCGCACAAAATAAAATCTTGAAAGTGGGTTAAGTGTTTAAAAGGTTGCGTTCACTCGGGTATGTTTTAATAGTGGGAAAAGCAATAGCCTGTTTAAGCCATTTACATAACAGCTGCATGACAGCTCCTCATAATAATCCTGTTTACTGACTGAAAATATTGTTTCAATTTTCTTTTTTTAATCTAAGTTGTTTGTTTGGAGATTTTCTCTAAAGAAAAACAAGCTGAGAACTCAGGACGCCCTCCGAGGTCTCCTCCAATATCAATATAATATATACACATAAAAAAGGAACACAGTAGTTGATGCATTTGTTTTGCTGAAGCGTATTTTAGATGACGTTATTGAATCCTGCATTAATCTGCCGCGGCACAGACTCTGTTTTTATTGCATAAAATTGTGTTTTAATGTGCATTTATGAAAACGAAAGAGGAAAATGTCAACAACATAAAAGAGGCTTATGTGATTTTGGAGAAGTCGCTCCGTCTGACTCTGCGTCTGTCTGGTTTGCACCTGCATGAAAATAGAGCCCGAGGTGCTTCATTGAAGGTGGTGGTGGTGGTGGGGGGGGGTCAGGACCATCAGGATTTAAATGAGGTGCTCCCATGAATAGACTTACATCTGCACTGAATTTATTATAGGAGATGGGATTTGATGCCCGCGGTGTTGCTGATTTGGCTTCTTTTACCCCTCGCTGACAGACTCCTGTGTTATTGTGGCTGAGCCGTGATGACAAGCCGTCACAACTGATATGTTGTCTGCGGTCACATCAACTCTGATGAGTGTGTGTGTGTGTGTGTGTGTGTGCGTGTGTGTGCGTGTGTGTGACATAATGCACCTTCACAAATGTCGCAATAAGACTTGTGTGACACCTGTAATCAAAAGAATATCTGACTCTGATTACATCGGCTCGTTGCAGGAGGTAGACATAAGGTTTGAATGCATCATTAGGCCGTCTGACACTAATGTAACCACTGCCACTCTGCAATAAGGGAATCAATGATGTAATTATTTCATATTTTATAATATAACTCAATATTCAGGCTTTTAATACCAAAGAAGAAGAGTGATGCAGTTTTACCTTTTTATTAAAAGCTCTAACAACTGACTTGAAACAAACTGTGAACACAACAAACAACATGTTGTGATGGTAAAATCACACGGACCGACAGGTGAGCCGTTTGTTTGACAGGTCGTCAACACTGCTCAGACGTGTGGGGGAGGGGGGAGGATCAAAACAAATGTCATTCTAGTGACTGACAGGAAATGGTGCTGCACATCACGACTGCTAATGGCTTTTCTTCTGTGGCGCACGCCAACGAGCTCATGAAGAAACAGTTTATCAAGATCTATGATGTCTGCAGCCGAACCTCATCCATCATCAGCACTGACAGACAAGGCATCCTGGACGATGCAGAAAATGTTGCTGTCAAAAAGAGTTTCATAGATGATAGAGTGTCGCAGGAATGAGTCCTAAAACCCGGAAATTAGCCTAGTTAGCATTTTAGCACTTCCTGTTCCCTCGTCCTGAAGTCTCTGGGTTTTTTTAATGTGTTTTTGGTTTGATTAACTCAAGACATTTTCACGTTTTATTCTACGACATAAATTTCATCAGTAAATACCCCAGTCCTGATTTCTTTAAGCTTTAAGCTGAAGATATATTTGTGGTTATAAGAACCAAAAACCATCTCAGTGTAGTTTTACATCTCCTCTCTCAGGCTTCTCTCTGGAGCTCTAGTAACAACAGGTCGGTGAGCCAATCAGAAGAGAGGAGGCTCTGAGCCTCTCTTCTGATTGGCTGACTGTTTTCTGAGTGATCCAATAAAAATAAAGCAGATTTCAGGTAAAAACACTCAGAGAAACCAAATCCTGCAAGGTTTGGATGGTGGGTCCAGGTGGGCGGGGCTTGGTGACTGCTTTGTTGTGACATCACAAAGTTCCAGAAGTCCTGACGGCTGGTTTTAAGGCTCAGTTTCTGAATACAGGCTGTGTGCATTTCTCTGTGGACTGAGGCTTTGATACTTTCACAGTATTAATATAGAAGCTAGAGCTGATCTATAATCACACTACACATGGACACAGACCTTTACACTGGAGGAGCTTTAATAAAACCCTGGACTCTCATTAGCCTTGAGGATTTTAACCTGAGGCTGAGTGGAGAACTGGAGGGCCGTGCACACATATATAAGGAAACACATATGTAATAAAAACCCACAGACTCACTAAACAGGAGTGTAAATACAGCGGCGCACAATCAGACTCACAGGCTCAGTCGAGGTCACGCTGTTTGGTTAAGTGTTTGTATCAGCCTGTTGAGGCAGGCGCTCATAAATCTTAATCATTTGTCCTCCGGGCTCTGACACAGTGACCAAGCTCAAATGCTGGGAAGCCACATCAGCACACACTTCCTCAACATACACACGCACACACACACACACATGCACACACGCATGCACACACACGCATGCACACACACACTGAATGTAGTTATCCTCCGAAGCCCTGGTGAAAACTGCCGCCTCAGCTGTCTGCACTCATGACTGTGTTTACAGTAACGTGGGTGTGACAGTAGATTGAGATACATGATGGATGATCATCTACAGTAAAGAGGAAATCTGGGGAAAAGATCTGGGGTTAGCTGCTATGCTAACATAACACACCTTCTGTCTTTGACTGAACTGTCAGCAGTCAAGTTGCATTGTGGGTAATGTAAATTTTCTTGTAATTTTTTTTATTTTATTGAACAGTAACATGACATAAATAACCAGTGGACAATATAATACACACAAATTAAACTTTAACACACTAGGTTACACTAAACAAAAAACACAAACACATAACATTAAAAAACATGTTGTTTTGTCCTGAGCCAGAAATATTAAAATCAGTTAAAGTGTTTTTATGGTCAGCCGAGGTTTTTTGGAAAATTAAGAGCGATTAGGATAAAGAGTGAATGTCTGAACTGGGCTTATGTAGATGTTTCTCTTTTGCGAGCTTGTATTACGTAACATTCATTTCATTTTATCCATTCACTGTTTGGTCACAGAGTAAAATAAGAAATGATCTGCAGCCAGAGGAAAACAGCATCATTTATCATACTGGACCATGACTTGACTCTAACAATTCCAGATGTTAGGATGTGGGAGATTCAGTCTGAGATAGTGTCCTGTGCCTTTTTGTCTCATCTGAAGAAGAAGAAGAAGAAGAAGAAGAGGAAGAAGAATTGAATTAACTGTCACAGAGCTGCTCTGCTTTGCCACAGGGCTGCTGCAGAAAAATTGAGAAAGAGTGCAGAGAGAGACCAGAGTCATGACACACACACACACACACACACATGCACACACACACACACACACACACACACATGCACACACACATGCACAGTCTGCTGGAGCTGTCTGTCTGGCGTGCCCATGCATGAAACTTCAGCTTTTCTCCCCAACACTCACTCACAGCTCATGGGAGTGGAGACACATTAACACACACACACACACACACACACACACACACACACACACACACGGGGTGTATAGTATATTCTTTATAATAGTGCAGTCCAGACCTAAGGGGTTTAGTCCAGTCCTCGTTCAGTCAGTGTGACATGTTCTCTGCTCCTCCATCCATCACCGGCCTTCTTCTCCCACACTACAATACACTCACATATTATTGAAACACTGACATTAATGTGGCCCTGCATGTCACTGAAGGTGTGTGTGTGTGTGTGTGTGTGTGTGTGTGTGTGTGTGTGCGTGCGTGTTGAAGCATAACACTGGCATTTTTCTGTACTGTCACTGAAGATTGAAATCTTTAAAACCGGGTCGCCAATATTGAGTTTTGATAATAAAAAGAATAAAAAACAAAAAGCTAAGTGAGCTGCTAAAACAGCTGTAGTGTTTAGGAGTACATTTGTGGAAGCTATTTTCAGCTTTCACATTTGGAGCGTTGGTGAGTGTGGGATTAAAAAATAAACCACAGGATCTGTGTTAATCGCTGATCGTTGAGTCAATGTTTTAATAGTTTTTGAACAACAGCGACAGAGGAGTAAACTATCACACAGAGCTTGTTACTCGGATAAATGATTATTTTTTTATTGAATAATTTGTTGATAATAAGAAAATATATCTCTGGCTTCAGTGTGTCTGCACAGTGTATGGCAGTCCTATGTGAACAGGAGCGTATCTTTCAAATGCCATTTTCTACCTCAGCGTCAGACCTCCAGTCCCTCTGGCTGTGTCCCAGTTCAGGAGCTGCCTCCTCCTTTCAGGTTTTACACTTCAGGACCAAAAACCTCTTTACAGGTCGACAGGGTTCTGTTCTCTGAGGACGCAGCCGAGAGACGGCGCCGTCCTCGGCCTTAAATTTCTGAGGATGCATCCGAGGTGTTCTTCGCCGCCCCGAGAGTGACCTGTCACTTGTTTAATGGTGCGTTCAGGCGCAATGGTGAAAGAAGCATTGGTACCGCTTCACAAAAAGGCTACCCTTAAAAGGGATTTATGAATGGTTTATAACTAGTTATTAATTAGCTTGTCAACACTTGATGAATCATATATTAGCTGTTTATAACACATTAGATAAAAAGGGCAGCAGTGACCTGTTGCTTGCCAAATAGTGAGCCCACATTTCTCTCTACTGTTCAGCCTCATGTCTGTTTGTTTCCTCCATCAGCAGCGTCTGTTCCTGCTGCTTCATCACGTGTTTGTTCAGTTACTAACAACGAACCAGCGTCTCCATCTTAATGGTCAAAACATTTCATCTGGCAGATCAAATTACGGCAGATCACATGATCATATCACGTGACCAGATTCTTCCTGTTTACCTCGGCATGCTCTCAGCAGCTGTCCTCGCTATTATCACAGCTGGTGATCAGATATGAACATGCAAATGCTTGGTCTCTTCTTTAGGACTTTATCATCCAGGTGTAACACAGGTGTGAACCTTCCTTTACCTGGTGAACTGCTCATCCATCCTTTGTCCCACTGCCTCTGATTCTCCCTCCACCACCTTCATGTTTCCTCATCTCATTTTTACAACCATGTATTCATAACTAATAACATGGAGCCTTACTGTAAAGTGTAAAACACATGATCATTTATTAATGAGTTACTTTAAGGCTCCTTTTACCAGTTATAACTATAATTAGTAAGATTAATGAGTAATAAGCATTAGCTTGATCTTGCCAAATAGTGAGCCTGAATAATGTATGAAAACTGTGTTATAACTTGTTTATTTATGATTTATAAAGTGTTAACAACCGAATGAATAACCTAATTATAAACCATTTATAAATCCTTTATAAGGGTCGTCTTATTGTGAAGTGGAAAGTACTTTAGTAAAAACAGCTGTACAGCAACTTAAAAATGAAAAGTTCAGCATTTGAAGTTCAGAAGTGTTGTCAAAAAAACCTTAAGTATGGGAAATAAAAGTGCTCATTGTTTTCCTGTTGTTATATAGCCTATAATATTATTGGATTCCTTGTTATGTAATGTGTTTTCACTGTGGCTGTAAACCCTTGACCCCATAATGATCTGGCCCACGGTTGAACCTAAAATCTAAACCAGGTTTTGGTGCTGGAGCGAAACAGCCTGAACACGTGGGCAGGAACTTTGTAATAGTGACAACTGCTATGTTGGTTATGCAGCTGCTAATCTGCTGCTCTGAAGCATTCATGGAACAGTTACATGCACCTGCAGCCTTCAGTGTCTGAGCTAACGTAACGCTGCGTCTCTAGACTAGACAGCCTCGCTCCAGGAGAAGGCCGCGCTGCGTCCTCTCTGCAGGACGTGTCCTTCGAAGGCGCCGGTCCCTGAATGAGGATCCAGCCGCTGAGGTTGATGATTATAAATCCTGTCCTGCTGTTGTTTTTGTTGTCGGCTTCAACAAGTGATGTTTTCACCACAGGGTGGAACAAAAAGAGTTTCCTTCCCCTCGTTTCCCTCAGAACATTTATAACAGCGGACGTCTAAATGAAACAGATGTGACAGATCACACACAGATTCAGACACATGCAAACTGTAATCTCAATATTCAGGAGGGAATCAATGTCTCAACTGTGCTGCTGGGGTTTATGTCCTTCTGACACACACACACACACACACACACACACACACACACACACACACACACACACACACACACACACACACACACACACATATACATACTGGCTTGAGGCAAATTTATTTTCATTCCGTTTGAAATGATAAATTGATGTTGTTGCTTTCTGCTATAAACTCGACACAGACATCCATCTATGTGTGTGTGCACGTGCATCTATGTGTGTGCACGTGTGTGAAGACAAAAACAGAGACATTAGCTGATAAATTGTAATTTGTTTACTGTCTGAAAATGCACACACACACTCTCAGCTTCATTCGGTCTCCCACTTGCATTTGTTTGTGTGTGTGTGTGTGTGTGTGCTCTCTGTGCTGACATGTACAGGTGTTTAGCCGAGGGGAAGGTCCAGCTCTCTGAAGGTGTGATCTTTTCAACCTGGACGTCGTCTCTGCAGCAGCAGCAGGACGCTCCTTTCTTTGTAGCATGTAATTAACATTAATGCCGAGCCTGAACGGCTCCGTGAGTGACACTAAAACCAGGAAGCGCTGTTTGAACTCCGCAGCTGAATATTGTGACTAATTGATCATCTTTCGCTGTTGTAAACATTTAATGAAGTGCATCTTTTCTCCCTCCTTACAGCAGCTGACTTAATGATTCTAAATCAAGAGCAGATGAATAATGTAGACACGCATTTAAACGCCGTCTGAGCATCGGCGCCTCCTCAGGTGACAAAACATTAAACTTTCAGATGCCTGGATAATCAAACAGGGGTGCGTTCATTCTAGTGAATGCAGTTTAGCGCTGTGCATTCTGAGATGTAAATAACAGGTTTGATTGTCTAAGGAATAAGTAACTAAGATGGAAAGCAGGTTGTGTTCAGCAGCGCGGTGCTGAGCCGCCGAGCTGTAAACCAATGGCTGCATTCTGTGCAGATAATTGAACTGTTAACATAGAGGGAATTTAAAGGTCGTTGTCGTTACAACAAATACAGTAAAGTTGGACATTTTAACATGGGAGTCTGTGGGGATTGGAGTCAGCCTCAAGTGGCCATTAGAGGAACTGCAGTTTTTCGCACATTTTTCACTTTACCGCCTGGTTTTTCTCTCCCGAGGAAACAGCAGTTGACAAAATGATCTTACCTCTTAGTGCCTTATAATCATACGACACGATCTTATTCGTTATGGATTTCTAGATAAGTTTCAAAATCTCTGCTTTTACCATCACGTGATCATCAGCTACAGATTTCATTTCATCTTTAAAGCATGAATCTGCATGACATGAACAGAGCTTTTTGTTTTCAACATGTTGTGTCTTCTTCCTTCTTTACAAACATGATGTGACAGAAAATCAGCTTCTGATGAGAAAGAGAAAGTGTGATCAGAATCATATTCAGTATAATTCAATATAAAAACCTCAGTCTTCCGAGGCAGCTGCAGTGAGCGCTGTGCGTTGGCCGGGGTTTTGTTTTTGTCCCGGTGCGCAGCAGCACGAGTCAATCTCATCTCCTTTGTCCCGTGTCCAGGTGAACATGCCGGAGCTGGCCTTGCTGCGCTTCGTGGTGTTGGATGACGACTACATCGGAGACGACTTCATCGGCCAGTACAGCGTGGCCTTTGAGTGCCTTCAGCCCGGCTACCGTAATGTGCCCCTGCTGGGCCTGGCGGGGGACCCCTTACCCCACACCAGCCTGTTCGTCCACGTGGCGGTCACCAACAGGCGAGGAGGCGGGAAGGCCCAGCGACGAGGCCTGTCGGTGAGGAGGGTGGGGAGGCGGGGGCGGGAGTACGTCACGCTGAGGCACACCGGCATCAAGGTGGTGGATGAGAGCTTCAAACCGGCCAGCGCCCCCCTGAAGGAGGCGACAGACCTGCGGGAGGATGCTCAGGTGAGATGGGAAATCAACACTGAAAATAACACTAACTCCCAGCGGTTTAAAGCCGCCAGGCCACACACACGGTTTTAGTTCCATGTGTTTGTGGACTCCTCCGCTCCGAGACTGTTTCCTTTTCATAACGCTTTATATTTCTACTTCCCCACAGTTCAGAGGATTTTACTTCTCACTCTGCGACAGTAGTCTGACAGTTTTAGTCACTAATGACTTTCCACGTTAAGATTTTTGCAGACAAAACATATAAGGAGATTAAAACTATTCATAAGGGTTTATACAAGTGGAGCCAATTAGATGAATTGATCAGATGATTGACAGAAATGGTTCCAGCTTCTCAGATTTTCTTTTTGAAAAATTGAAATTCATTTTTAAATAATTTTGGAGTGTGGACCGTCTCTCTGCATTTAGTACTTTTACTTTTTAATACTTTATGTTGAAGTTTATTGTCCTACAGAAGCCTGAAAAGACTTTTTTTTTTTTTTGCCAGGATCATTTTTCCAAGTTTTGTTTTCTTTCTTTCTTCCCAGAAAAAAAAAAATCACTTGTCTCTCGGGGGATGTTTAAACAGATGAAAAGAAATACTTAGAAAAAGAAAGAATTGTCCTGATTACACTTACATACTGTTACTGAAGAAAGATTTTGGATGTAGGACTTTTATTTCTGATAGAGTATTTAGACATAGTGTGTGTCGTGGTCTTTGCTTTCTGTATGAACAGGAAAATAAAACATCAACCACGATAATGAATCCCTCCCCTTCTCCTCATGCGGCCCTGGGGGAGGCGGCCCAGTGTCCTGGCTGCACTGGATAATCCACAGACCACCTTCTCAACCCTTTTCATTTAGGATATTTTATTTTACTCTCCGTGAGGATTTTGGATTATCCAGAGTAACCAGGACACTGTTCCTGGAAGGAGATGTTAAGAGAGATTTAAATTTTTCATCGTCAGTGCTCGAGCTGCACAAACACAGTTCAGTTCACCTTTAGGATATCTCAAAACCTAAACTCCCTGCACCACGAGAGACGAGGGAGAATATGCTTTTCTTTTATTTTATTTGAAGTGATCCTCTAAGATTCACCAAAATAAAACCACCAAACACTCTCTGTGACACTTTGTGTTTAATTGGCTTATGTGGCAAACTCCCTCCAGGCAGGTTGAAGGAAATGCTCACAGCCGAGTCACATCAGATCAGGTGTCACTCAGCTTTTGTATTTTTAGGCCGTGGTGATAAGATGTCTGGTTATTGGAGTGGCTTACATGACAGCGCTGAAATCAGACTCTACCTAAGACTCCTCTGTCCGATGAATAAGCGAGCGCGAGGGAGGAGGAGGAGGAGGAGGAGGAGGAGAGGCAGTGACAAAGGAAGAGTCAGTAAGAAGAGTGGAGGAGGATTATAAAGCATCTATAAAAAAACAGCAAAAATAGAACCTGGTCACACGGCGCCCACCAGCTTATCCCTGAATACAAACATGTATGGGTGGGCGATGTGAATAGATTCCTCTTTTGCGGAATATCTGTAGGCCTATATGTCATGATATAAATATACACTGTGTAGCCAAAAGTATGTGGACACCCTTGGCCTTTTTTTTCCTGTGTGAAGATGACAGTGTCTCTGTGCACAAAGCCAGGTCCACAGAACTTATCACCCGGCATCGCCGCTGCTCTTGTCCTGCAGCGAGGATGCTACAGCTGCAGATTAGATTAATAGTTTGACAGTTTTGTATATATTCACTCTCCTGATGAGCATTAGATGATCGATGCCACTGAGTGCTAAACATAGAGCTGGAATGAGGACGTGGTTAGCTTAGCTTAGCTTAGCTTAGTTTAGCATAAAGTCTGGAAGTGGGGGGAAACAGTTAGCCTCACTTTCTAACAGGTTATAGCATCATTTCATGCCCAACAGATGCAATGAGTGTAACGTTTGGGTGTCCATGTAGTTATGACCATGTAGTGTAAATTCATGGATCAAATCAGCGGTCCCTAACCTCGAGGTCGGGGCCCCAACAAAGGGTCACGAGATGATTTTCAAGGTAGTAGATTAAAAAATGTAAAACTTCTGCTTCATGTTTGACTTTTCTGTAGTCTTTAATTATTTTCTAGTGAAATACTGTGTGTGGATCTTATGCAAACATAAGTTTAAATTGCTTTACAAAGGCATTGGAAATACATTAAAGATAGAACATTAAAATTAAAAACATTTAAAAACAATAAAAACGAATTTAAATAAATTAAAATAGAAATATTTAAATACATAAGATCAGGTAGGAAACCACTTTGATAAGGTTGGTAATGATCCTTCAAGCACAATATACTGTGTTATTTCTTGCATAACGTGGGGTCACTAGACATTAAGAGTTCACACACAAACAGGTCGGGAACCACTGGATTAAATCACCAAAAGGTGAATTCAGTCAGTGGAAAATTGAAGGTATTCCATGACTCTGATGCAACAATCCTGTAATTCCTCTGACGCCCTGCTCATTCATCTGCTAAATATCCTACAGTGGCTGAATGGCCTCCTCAGTTTAAACCGTAAAGTAAAATCTCTGTCAGGAGATAAATCCCTGTCGTCTCACGTATCACCCAACCCTGAACCAATCCCTCCCGATAGCTCTGTCAGACACACACACACACACACACACACACACAGAGACGCTGTTCGCTCATTCACAAACGGCTTTTAATCTGCCCGCTTCTATCTCACTGTCCTTTCCCTCCGACATGAACTCTCTCCTCCTCTCTGTCTCTCTGCCACGAGTCCAGCTGTGGGCTCATCTGCCACGGTCAGTTATTATACATCATGTCTGTATTACTGTATGTCTCTCTCTCTCTCTCTCTCTCTCTCTCTCTCTCTCTCTCTCTCTCTCTCACACACACACACACACACACACACACACACACACACACACACACACACAGGTGGGGCATGATAATCGCGAGTCCAGCTGGGGCTCTGCCAGGTGGCAAATAGCATCCAGTCAGACAGCAGAGGTTTTTCTATTCTGGTGCTTGAATGTGCAGAAATAAATCTTTCACCTTCATTATGACGCGACCCAAAATGGCATTTCAGCAGATTAACACATGACTCTTATTTTATTTATTTATTTTGTCCCTGTCAGATCTGCTAACCGACCCGGTTCTGCTTCCTGACACACACCTGCTGCAGCTGAAAAACACTCTAAACGCTATGATTTTTTTCTTCCAGTCCAGATTTATGCCATATTGTCTTCTCTTTTGCCAAATGCGCTTAAGCTAAGGCTGATTTCACTGGATTAAAAGCAGCAATGACTGCCATATTGATTTAATTCACAAGAGAGACAGCAGATGACAGGGGAAAAGAGGGGGAAAGAGTGTATGTGTGTGTGTGTGTGTGTGTGTGTGTGTGTGAGGAGTTTAAAGGGTGTGTCCCCCTTTCTGACCTTTCCCAGCTTAGTCTTACAGCCGGAACTGTACATCTGATCTAATTCTATTTTCCCCTCTCCTCTTCTTTCTCCTCATCTGTCTTTTGCTTTCACACCGTTTCCAGAGCACCACCGCCAGTTTCAAAGAGCAGTGTGGGCTCCCCACGGTGGCCAAACTCAAGCAGTGCATCCAGAGCCTGGCCACCAGGCTGCAGAGCCCCGAGGGCACCATGGGGGCCAGTATGGTGCTGAAGGAGGGCTACCCGTGTCTGGAGGCTCTGGTCAACCTGTCCGAGCCGACACGCAAACTGCTCGCCGCCTACGACACGGTCAGTGCACAAACCTGCAGCCTCTGTTTCCCCTCCTTGATAAGAAACCAAGTTCTGGCTTTGGTATTTTGAGAGATTAAGTTTCCTACAGTCTGACCCTCTAATCTCTCTAAAAGTAAAGAATTAATGCTCTTCTTCTGCAGATGTATTCATTCGTGTCTCGTGTAAAGTTTTAGAGAAAGTTTTTGTCAACAAACTCTGTGAAAAGACCAAAACCAACAACAGAGTTTTATCCTACTAACAGGAATTGTCTGTTTATTCTCAAAGCCTGATGTGATCTGTGCCATGGAGCTTCACTGTTGTCCAGAAACTATTAAAAACACATCAATGTGTGCACGCCGTTGTGAAAACAGTTCCCAACAAATGCACAGTTTCTCCTGTTTCAGTAGCCTTTGCTAAAAACTACAATTTCCAGCAGTTTTAGAAAAGTCATGAGGCTTTTTCTGTCTTTTAATGGGATTTGTTGACAGTAAGAACAATAATTAGCCTAATGTTAACAACCATGACCATAAAGACCATAAACGCTAACATCGGCATGCTAACGTTCTCATGCTGTAGCTTCACTATATTGTTTCTACACATTATTATTCGCCATGTATTCGCTATCTCGGCAAGTTAGCATGCTAACATTTGCGTATTAGCTCTCATAAAGTGGCTAACAATCTTTTTGTGTTCACTTTGAAATTAAAACAGATTACATTTACTCAAATACAGTTTTGAGGTAGGCTACTAACTTACTTATATACGTCTACCTCTCTCCACCTTATGTTGCCACATTAAACTACGCAACAGCGCAGGAAGTGTCCATCTATGAAAGCAGAGTGGTTTTAAGTCTTCAAGGTTTTATAGAGGGATTTAGATGTTGCTCAGTTAGCATTGAGGTATTTTTTTAAGATAGCTTTGGCCAGATGATGGGGCATTTTTCTGGTGTGGCAGTGCTGCTTTTACTTATATCAATGACTTGCATCCTCCCCCCACTGTTCATTAGCTTTGTTTACTCATGAGCCGGATGCTTTTTCTCAAGTTTGAGTTTTAGATTAGTCACAAATTTATTGCATCAGTAAGTTTTTCAAAGTTTTTATTTTTGCTCTCTGATACATCATGCTGCATTACTGAGTGTACACACACACACACACACACACACACACACACACACACATGCAATCACAGTGTCCTGAGGCATTAAATATGCATAAAGACACTTTGAGGTGACATGTGTGAAACAGTCACCCACACTTCTCCTCACCGAGCGTGCACACACACACACAAACACACACAAACACACAAACACACACCCTGACCGCCAGCTGCGTCTCCTCCTACTCGATCTCCTCTTGCATCAGATCAGGACGAATCTCTCCCACCTGTTTTAGCTGCTCAGCCATTACACCTACACACACCTCGGCACACAGAGTGCTTTTTGCCCCCTCTAACCATCACTGTGTGTTTATGTGTGTCAGTGGAGCTGACGATGTCTGAGTGTGAATCCTGCAAATGTGAGCCCAGCAGGTCAGTGTCATGGAGCCACAGTTGGCGCGATCTCCAGTTGTACATCACAACTCTTCAGGCTTTCTGGGCACACACACACACACCACACACCCCACACACACACACACACACACACACACACACACACACACACACACGGCTTAGTCATCACACACTCATCCTCCTCCCTTTGCTGCCTTGCAGCCAGTATTCTGTCCTTTTCCTTCTGCCTTCCATCATTCTCCACAGATTTAAAACAAACCTTGTGCTTTATGTTGCTTTCCAACTCGGAGCATCTGAACCGATCCCACTTGTCCTTTTGATTTCACTTAAATGCTAACTAAGCTAACTAAGCTAACCAAATGTTACTCTATTACTCTCGTGTAGGCCAACCCAGATGTTAGTGTGACCTCGGTTTACTGCAGAAAATAAACTCTGTGACAAACAGAAGATCACGATACTTCAGTGTGAATGGTTGTATGTATATATGTGTCTATGATAGACTGGCAAATTGTCAGTGGTGTGCACCACTTCACCCAGTGGATGCTGGGATACTCAATAATCCAAACAGTTTCCTCTCGAAGTGTTGGATTGATTGACTTTTTGTTTCAGCTGTGATGTATTTCATGGAGGCAGCATTTCCCTCAGTTTCAACCTGTCATATTTTTGGAAACATCATTACTCCTTGTACCAGTTTAAATAAAGTTTCATGTTGCGTTAGTTAAACACAAACATTTTGTTCCCGTCTGTCCAGATGATCGCCGCCCAGAAACAGCTGATCGAGAACGCAGATGCCGTTCAGGAGAGGATCGCCCAGGTGCAGAGAGAAGGTACAGCGCGCAGGCCAGCGAGCGATGGATGAACGGCTGGACGGTTGCTGACATGAAAACAGTTTTGATGAGCACTCATGAATAAAACAACTGCAGTACAGGATCAGCCCAAACCCTAAAAAAAAATTCACCAAATGAGCAAGTCTGACTTGAACATCAAACGGCTGAACTTAATGAGGGTGACTCCACGGAGAACGGGTCTGTCAGTAAACAACATTACAAGTGGATATACAGTAGTTGCAGGAGATTTTGACACTCCCAGATGTTTGTTAGTGTGGATTTCTAATTCGCAAAAAAACCAACGTCACTCTCATTTTTCTGCTTTTGGAAACGAGGATCCGTTGAGATGCACGTTTCCAAAACATCTCCACCAAGTATATCTGCTTCAAATGTTGTTCTGCACTCGTAACACGCTGCAGCCCTGTGTTACATTAATAATTTGGATTTTCTAAACTGTGTCAGGTGTAATGCAGCAGCTGTGACAGCTGTGCAGCGAGCGTTTACAGTGAAAAGACAGGCGTCTACACAACCATACCAGTGTATTTTTAGACCAACTCGCTGCCTCAGAGAACTCATGACCTTTAACTGACAATGCAAATGTCACGAGGGATGGAACTTTAGTTTTGTGTTAATATGTAAATCCACTATCTCACAACATAACCACCAGAAAGATGCAGCTGACACTTGCCCCTGGACATTGTGTGTTAGTCACAAAAATAATCCAAGCGAACAGTTATATTTTGCATGAATTTGAATTATTGATTCCCACCCACCACTGTCAGCTGATGCGCCGCTCCTGTTTGTGCTCTGCAGGCATGGACTTCCATGAGGACCTCTCTCGGCACGGCGAGAAAGAGGGACTGAAGGGACGCAAGCTGAGCAAAGCTGTGGAGAGTTTCACCTGGAACATCACTGTCCTCAAGGTAGTGGGAGGCAACAACATAATGATATCAAAGCTTCCTTCTGCTTTATCAGAATTCATAAATCAGGCTGCAAATTTTCTTCTTCTTCTGTGTTTTATTAGTGTTGATCCATAAGAAGATATATTTGTGGTTTTAAGAAGCAAAACCCGTCTCAGTGTAGTTTTACATCTCCTCTCTCAGGCTTCTCTCTGGAGCTCTAGTAACAACAGGTCAGTGAGCCAATCAGAAGAGAGGAGGCTCTGAGCCTCTCTTCTGATTGGCTGACTGTTTTCTGACTGATCCAATAAAAATATAGCAGATTTCAGGTAAAAACACTCAGAGAAACCAAATCCTGCAAGGTTTGGATGGTGGGTCCAGGTGGGCGGGGCTTGGTGACTGCTTTGTTGTGACATCACAAAGTTCCAGAAGTCCTGACGGCTGGTTTTAAGGCTCAGTTTCTGAATACAGGCTGTGTGCATTTCTCTGTGGACTGAGGCTTTGATACTTTCACAGTATTAATATAGAAGCTAGACCTGATCTATAATCACACTACACATGGACACAGACCTTTACACTATATGGGACCTTAAAAAAGAATAGATTAATGCAGAACTTTATGCAAATGTCACTGATGTCATCACAGTTTATGTGACATCATTGTTTATGGCGTTAATGTCAAGTAACATGTAGAAAAGTGACGTTTGAAACTTACTTGAGAACAGCTAATCCCAAAAAAACCTAAACGTTAACCCTCCACTTCCTTCAGTCCTGATTGTTCTGGTTTTCCAGCCTGTAAATCTGCTTTCATCAGCCTCGTTTCCCGCCGCAGCAGAAAGTTGATTTTGGTGAAGAAATTCTGTTCGCTGTCTCTCCAGCACAAAACAATAGAAAGACAAAGTTAGCGACCAGCTGGTGAACATAGTGGAGGATTTAGCAGCTAAATAACCAGCTATTTCCATCACGAGCTGGAGGAAGCCAAAAACAGAGCTGAAAGGAGAGGGAGTATTGGACTTGTATTTGTCAAGTGTGTAGAAACTGATGTTCTGCTGCCCCCGAGTGGCCAAAAAACTCAATTAATGCAGCTTTTAATCAATTGCTAAAGAGTTTGGCCTTTCTTCTGCCACATCCCCGGAGGTGTCACGCTAAAGCAAGACGCCTCAGATAATAACAGGCTGTAACACTGAATTAAAAGCTGAATTTCCATCCTCTGTTTTACTTGGAGTTCACTGCTGTGCACACATGAATCAGAGGAATGTTTCTCTCTGTGGCTGCAGGGTCAGAGCGACCTGTTACGGGGAGCTAAGATGGACTCCCTGGATGCCCTGAGGCAGCTGGCTCTGGCCTGTGAAGCCTGTGGATTCACCTCCTCCTCCTCGTCCACCAACTCTTCGTCCTCCGCCTTCTCCGCCGCCGAGCTGCACTACTCCTCCCACCCGCTGTCCGTCCGCCGCAGCAGCACACACGGCAACGGACGCATTTGACATCCCACCCGCCC